ATATAACCCACAGACTATTCATCAAAACTAAGAAATTAACTTTGGTATAATAATATTGACCAAAGTATAAACTTTATTCAGATTTCCCCACTGATGTCCGCTTCCGTTCCAGAATCCAATCTTGGATCCCACATTGCATATAATTGTCATGTCTCCATAGTTTCCTTCAATCTTTCTTAGTCTTTCCTTGTCTTTTGTGACCCTGACACTTTTGAGAGTATTCTGTATAATGTCAGTTATTTTAGGGGTACCTGGGTGGCTCAGTCAGTTAGGTGTCTGCCTTTGTCTCAGGTCATGATCCCAGGGTCCTGGGATTGAGCCCCACATTGGGCTCCCTGCCTTCTCCCTCTCCCTGCCGCTCCCCCTGCTTGAGCGTGTGTGCGCACGCTCTCTCTCTGTCAAATAAATAAAATCTTTGGGAAAAATAAGTTATTTAGAAGAATGTCTTTCAATTTGGGTTTGCCTGTTTTCTCATGAGTAGACTGGGAACGAATCCATCCCTGTGTGTAGACGTGCCCCTACTATATCATATCGGGGGCATATGATACCAGCGTAAATACACTGGTGATATTGACCTTGCTTACTTGGCTAAAGTGATATCTGTCAGAATTCTCTACTGCAACTTACTATTTTTCCTTGTGTAATTACTAAATATTCTGGGGCTATGCAAATACTCCGCTTCTGTTTAAAACTATGCTTTTATTTTAGCATCCATAAGTCAATCCTGCCTACAGCAATTGTTATCGTGTGTTTTAATGGTGATTTTCTATTTCCCTCATGCCTTCTACACTTATTAATTGGAATTCTTCTATAAGAAAGAACTATCACTCCTCTATTCAGTTAGTTCTATCAGTGAACTCATGGATATTTTATTCTTTGGGTTATAAACTAATGTATAGTTATTTTGTTGCTCAAGTTGTTCCAACTTTGGCTACTGAAAGTGCTTTCAGGTTGACGTCTATGACCTTTTGATAATGCCCTGCCCCCTCCTTTTTAAAAAAAATATAGCACATTCTAACTTTCTGGCACCACCAGACGCTCCAGGCTCATCTTATATTTTCCCTGCCTCAACCCTAGAATCAACCCCTTCTCCAAAGAGTCCTGATTCCCTTTATTGATATTTGGAAATCAAGATCTGGTTTTTCTAAATTTTTTTTTCTAAACATGAGTACATATTGATGCTTCCAATCTAGCACCAGAGGTTTCAGTTTAGCCTTCGCCTTTCCTGATTTTTAACTTTTTTCTCTGATGTGAGAAACTCGACTCTCATTATCAACAATATATTCACTTGTTTGTTCAACCTGAGTATACAAATAAAGTAGTGACAGAATTCCCAACCCATAACCTTGACAGAAATAAATTTACAAACCAGACAGCTTTGTATGTATACAGTTCTTTTTATTTTCAGCCCTATGGTATACAGGATACAGTCAAAACACTATTTCCCAAGGTCAGCTCCTTTCTCTCCCATTTCCTGCAGTGTGGCTATGTGATTTATTAGTAATATCAGTTAGATTCATTTATCACAGTCTACATTGTCTTTCCCCCTATACTGGTTTGCTTTTAAACAAATTTATATACAGTAAAATTCAATTCTTTAGTGCCATATATTTCTTTAAATTTTTTTTTTTTTTTGCGAGAGAGAGAATGAGAGACAGAGAGCATGAGAGGGAGGAGGGTCAGAGAGAGAAGCAGACCCCCTGCTGAGCAGGGAGCCCGATGTGGGACTCGATCCCGGGACTCCAGGATCATGGCCTGAGCCGAAGGCAGTAGCTTAACCAACTGAGCCACCCAGGCGCCCTAGTGCCATATATTTCTATAGGTTTTGACAAATGCATAAAATTATGTCGAACACTACACTTCCATATGGGACAGTTACATCAATTCAAAAATATTCAATGGCAACTGTAATTTTAATTCTGCTTTCTCAGCACCAGCCAGGAGGTGGCAGGGTTTCTCTCTGGGAGGCAGCCTTTACAAGGCAACTAAGCCATCTTGCAATGCAGGAAAATGGGACACAGGGAGGCAGTTCCCACCCCTCACACTCCATGTATCATCTTCTCCCGGCTATGGTTACAGGAATTAAGAAGTTAAGCTTCTTCTTCCCTGAAATAGGAGAGTTTGGTTAGAAGCCCCAGAATCTCACACTCCAACCGAAGAAGCAGGATGAATCATCAGAGAGTAGTCAAGAAGGCAACCCATAAATATGCTTTGGTAAAATACAGTGAAGACAACAAAGGGAAATGAGAAAACGAGACTATGACCAAATCATATGAAAGGGGGTAGATGCCCACAGACTCTCTCTTCAAGGCATCACCTGTTTGGTACTGATGGCTGGGAAAGAGTGGGGAAGAGAGAGGACTCCTAGGCAAAGGAAAGAACCTGAACACAGGCAGGATAATGCAAAACAGGCTTGAGGCACAGTAAGTTCCAGACAGAAGAGGAGGTTAGAAACACAGAGGACAAAGTTGTTAAGTTTTAAATGCCCTCTTATAGGTATTTGTCATCCAGTAAACACAGGGCATTCCATCATGCAAGTACTATGCCGTATGGTAGACATGTTGTCTATGTGGTTAGGTACAAGCTCTGCTTGATTAATAACAAACCTAATAATTATTATCAACATAATCACCACTAACCTATCTACTGGTAAGTCATTTTACCTCCCCAACCTGCATTATAAACTGAGGGGAGTATTTTTTTTAAAGATTTTATTTTATTTATTTAAAGATTTTATTTATTTGGGGGCACCTGGGTGGCTCAGTTGGTTAAGCGACTGCCTTCGGCTCAGGTCATGATCCTGGAGTCCCGGGATCGAGCCCCGCATTGGGCTCCCTGCTCAACGGGGAGCCTGCTTCTCCCTCTGACCCTCCCCCCTCTCATGTACTCTCTCTCATTCTTGCTCTCTCAAATAAATAAATCTTTAAAAAAAAAAAGATTTTATTTGACAGAGAGAGAGACAGTGAGAGAGGGAACACAAACAGGGGGAGAGGGAGAGGGAGAAGCAGGCTTCCCGCTGAGGAGGGAGCTCTATGTGGAGCTTGATCTCAGGACCCTGGGATCATGACCTGAACTGAAGACAGACCCTTAAGGACTGAGCCACCCAGGCCCCCCTAAAGATTTTATTTTTAAGTAATCTCTATACCCAGCGTAGGGCTTGAACTCATGACCCCAAGATCAAGAGTTGCACACTCCACCAACTAAGCCAGCCTGGTGCCCCTAAACTGACGGTAATATTTAATAATAGGTTTGTGCATTTTCAAGGAGATAATGCATAGAAAGTGTATAAGAGTTTCTGATATACATAGTAATCAATAAATATTAGTATTATAAATAAATTATAAATGACCTAAATTTATCTAAATGCTGTTTTATAACTTTCTTACCTTTCTTCCTAATGGGCAAGTTTTCAAAAGATTCTTCTTATCCCACATATAATAAAAAAAGTCTGAAGTATATCTGGTTGTCTGCATTTATTAATGTGACAAAACCAACTTGAACAGTTCGCTAAATCTAACTCCTACCCCTATACATTACTATTATGAACCCCTAGTACCTTGCTGAGTAGTATTTTATATATACGTTGTCATATTTAATCCTCTACAGAACTCTGAAAGGTTAAGTTTTATCATACTATTTTTTTTTTTTAGATTTTATTTATTTATTTGACAGAGAGAGATAGCGAGCGAGGGAACACAAGCAGGGGGAGTGGGAGAGGGAGAAGCAGGCTTCCCGCTGAGCAGAGAGCCCGATGCGGGGCTCGATCCCAGGACTCTGGGATCATGACCTGAGCCGAAGGCAGACGCTTAACGACTGAGTCACCCAGGCGCCCCTATCATACTATTTTAAAAGATCATTGAGCATTAGAGACATAAAGCAAACTGTGCAAGGTCACAGAGCTAGTCTGTCACCAACCTCTGCCTCCATTCTTTCTACTGAACTGTACTGTACTATACTCTCTACCCTCTATGAGAATACTCTTAATTTCTGACATTGGCCCTCTCCTCTTCTGTATCCAAGTTCTCTCTGGGTGATTTCTACCCACAAACAAAATTTTGCCATCTGATTGCAAATAGTTCCACAAACTTCTACTTGAAGGCAGGACTTTTCACTTCAGTTCCAGTCCTACATATCCAAATTCCCTGGTGGACACTGTATGTGTCCTTCTTAGATACCTCAAACAATGTACTGCCAAGGCCAACATTTTGCCCCACTTGCTTTTTAGGCTGATTTTTTTTTTTTCTGGTGGGGTCATTACTATTAACCCAAACCTGCAACTTCAACTTCTGGTGTTGCCCAATACCCAGTATGTTATCAACTCCTATCAGGTAAGCTTCTCCACATCTCCCCACCTTTCCTGCCCCTCCGTCAGATTCTTCACATCTTTCTTCTGGACTCTTCTAAAAACTTTCTAGGTGGCCTTTCTGCTTTCCCCACACCAATCCATTTTTCAAAGCCTACCTCCTGGATTAATCCTCTTACAATATTGGTTTATTAACATAATCTCAGGCTAATGGCTCTCGGAAAGCTTCCCAGTAAATCCCAAATTCTTCACCAACCTGGAAGCAGATTTCTGGGCATACCTAACCTCTGAGTATGCCATGATTCTAGCAAGCAAAATGTTATCACATTCAGGTGACATACTGCCTTTCTGCTTCTTCATCTAAAATTCCTACTTCCTGTCATCATGCTCTGAAAGAAGAATTAGTGGAGTATATTAATCCGAGTTAGGACTTGATTGTTAACTGGGATCTTGCCAATTGGAGCCTGTGAATTCATTCTCACAGAATCCTTAACATCTCACTAGTCTTGCTCCCCACCTACTCTGGGAAATCCCTGTAGGCAGGAACTGTGTCAAATGTGTCTTGGGTTTATGAGTACACAGTACAAGACCTGGCATGTAGTGCAGGTTTGGGAAACGAAGAACTCCACGGCTTAAGAGCTGACCCCAAAGGTGAAGTGATGGTAAAGTGGGCAGTCGAGCCACAAGCACCACTCACCCTTCCGATTCATCCCCATCTGGAGGCACTTGAGCAGGCGGCAGTACTGGCACCGGTTCCTCTGCTTCCGAGACATAACACAGTTCTTGTCACGACTGCACCGATACACCCGCTTGTTGCAAATGCTCCGCTTGAAAAACCCCTTGCAGCCCTCACAGGAGATGATCCCATAGTGCAAGCCTGTAGCACGGTCCCCACAAATGAGACAGGTTCGTTGTTCAGCCCGATCATCTGGAACAGAAACTGAACATATTCAAATTAGAACACATGGGAATAATGGCTTTAAGCCTGCAGTTCTCAAATAAGCAACCTTGGGGCGCCTGGGTGGCGCAGCCGTTAAGTGTCTGCCTTCGGCTCAGGTCATTATCCCAGGGTCCTGGGATCGAGCCCCGCATCGGGCTCCCTGCTCGGCGGGAGGCCTGCTTCTCCCTCTCCCTCTCCCCCCGCTTGTGTTCCCTCTCTCGCTGTGTCTTTCTCTGTCAAATAAATAAATAAAATCTTTAAAAAAATAATAAAATAAAATAAGCAACCTTGCTCTGGGAAAATCAAGAACATCACTCTTTCCCGGCTAACTGGCAAACAGGGGTCATTTTTAGAGCCTTTGTCCTAGGAACAGACCCTTGCATCTACCTGCAGATATCACAAACACAGCCTGTTTTAAAAAATAACTCATGCTCCTCTCCCTGGGTTTCATCATCACTTGGACCAGTATCCAGGTCAAAAACTTGGGAGATAGCCCTGATTCCTCTCTCTCCCTCACCTTCCTCAGCCACAGCCCATCACTTACTTCTACCCTGTAGAAAGGTGATAAGGTGATTACTGATAATTTATGTAAGTGCCCAGCAAATGGCATATACCTAGTAAATGAAAGTTATAATTATTAACCAGTGAAGAAGTTTTAACCAGGCCCAGCCAGCCAACCAGTCTTCCACCTATTCAACAAATAGGTATTGGACAACTGTTCTAATCTAGGCACTGTTGTAAAAGGCATGGCTACAGCAGTGAATGAAAGTCCCTGGTGAAGCTTATGTTCTAGCAGAACATCTACTCTGTGTCCAGGCCCTGTGTTTGGTACTGGGTACTGGGTAAATCATCATGACCCCCACAGTCAAGGAACTTACTGCCTCGCAACAAACAAGTTAGTCAAAGAGGAAATTCAGGCTGGAATATAACGCTCTAACTTCCTCTTCCCTCAAATTTCACTTACTCAGGATCAAGCTACCGCCAAAGAACAGGCATATGACAAAAAAGTGCCCTGGTGAACTGTGATGTCAGAACTTGCTAGCAGGTACAAGAAACCTCCCAAGAAAAGGTTTTGATCAGAGGCCAAGGCAAGAAACCAGAGTCTGAACCACACTCCTGAGTAACAGGCAAGATATAATGATTAAGAACACACCCCAGATCTTTCTTTAAACCCCAGTTCTGACACTTACCAGCTGACTGAACGAGGGCAAATTAAGTTACTTCACCTCTCTGAACCTAGTTTTTCTCATCTGTAAAATGGGGATTATAACGGTACCTACATACATAAAATACTCAGCACAATGCTTGGGCTACAATGGACATTTAATAAATGACAGCTATTATTTTCATTATCATTATTATCCTAACAGATCCACGCTTAATGTGATAATAACATTCCTGAAAAGAAAAGCATTTGAAAGCAATGTTACAGGAGGAGCATGGCAGTATACATAGGAGAGATGTAGAGAAGGCAGGAGACTAGCATTTAGGCAACCTTTATTATATGCCAACTTTGAGATGTCTTTATGATCCCTATTTGTAGTAGGCTGGATAATGGCCAACCAAATATATCAGGTCCTAATCCCTGAAACCCGTAAATGTTATCTTGTAAGGAAAAGGGATCTTTGCAGATGTGATCTAATTAAGGATCTTGGATTGGGAGATTATTCTGGATTATAAAGGTGAGCCCTACTTGCAATCACACATGTCTTTAAAAACAGAGAGACAGAAGGAGATTTGATATAAACAGAAGAGAAGACGCCTGCATGCGCACACACATGTACACACAGAAGAGAAGGCGATGTGAAAACAGGCAGAAGGCAGCTGAAGCCAAGGAATGGCTTCCACTAAAGCTGGATGAGGCAAGGGATGAATTCTCCCCTAGAGCCTCTGGAGGAAGTGTGGCTCTGCCCACCTTATTTTCACATGACTTTTGAACTTCCAGAACTGTGAGAGAACAAGTTTGTGGTAATTTTTAACAGCAGCACAGGAAACTAATACACAATATTTTTTTCATTCAGGGCAACAGACATATATACTAAGGCTCTTGCCCAAAGTCACACAGCAAATAGCAGTTATGCAGAGAGAAGCAGATACAGGAGACCACACAGCTAGGGAAACAGGAGAGAGGAAACACCTAGGTTCTTGAGGACTCTATATTTCCTAGTTACAGACCTTTCCAAGACTTTATAAGGCTTGGATGAACTTCCTAACTACGGGCAAATTGACATACCATGACAAACTGACATTCCCATGTCTTGTAATACAATACCTTCTTTTCTTTTTTCTTTCTCGAGCTAACTTAAATGAATTTTTGTTATTTGCAACGAAAAGAAATTTGGTTAAAATATAAAAATGGCCCTGGTGTAATAACCATTCTTTTTCTTTTCCTTTTAAAAATGCAAAGGAAAAATAAATAAGTAAGAATGCAAAGGAAGCTCAAGGTAAACATTAGAGCAAAGTTACAACAGAGAATTAAAAAACTAAAACAGGAAAGGCCAAAAAGGCAAAATGAATGACATAACAATAGTACTATGTGTGGGATGTGATTTCCTGGAGTGCTGGGCTTGAGTTGCTGATTGGGCTTAGAAAGAGAACGAACATGGAATGTTGTGAAAAAATCTAGATTGGATACAGAGAATTTAAATTTTCTCATTTTAAATTCAAACCTTCAATATTATATATGACCTTTCTATATATTTATAGATATATATATCTCACATTCTACCATATATAGGATACATATCATATATATATATATACACATACATTAAAATATAAACCAGAAGTCTACTAGAATAGACTTAAAAATAGTTATAATTAATCAATATCTAGAAGAACCACACTATCTCTTTCTCCCTTTCTTCAGAGTTATGACTTCACTGAGTACAGACCATTACTAAATACCGTGTTTTGTGTTGTGTCACATAATTCTCATAATCCCAAAGGCGGATACAACTGCTATTACCATTTTTGTAATTGAGAAAATGGAGATCTCAAAAAAAGTTAAGGAACTTGTCCATTTAGGAAGTGGCTGACCCTAATCTGCCAATATCAGAACTGGAGTTCAGTAACCTCTTCAGAAAGCATTTGTATGGCATTCTGTCCAGCATCTGGATCCAGGGCAAAGGACCCACTGAACAACAATCAAATACAGAACTATTAAGAATCTGCTTATGTCTTGTAACACTGCTTGTTCTTTTCATGAGCACTTAAAAGGCTACGATGAGATCAAAGTCGAGGTGGGACTATTTCTCCACCAATGGGCACAGACTGGATTTTCTTTGAGTCCTGTGACTGCTTCTCTTTCATAGCTATTCTTACTGCCATTTTCTGTTTCTATAAGGAGCACTGGCTTATGCCACAGACCAGGAACTAATTCAGAAGGAAGTCTCTCAAAGGTACAGGAGAAAGGCCCTCTCCCAATCAACTGTAAAGCCTCTCACAGAAGCACTTTACAAACTTCCCTCACAACATGTGGGAAAGGATCATAAAAACAGGAGAAGCTATTGCTAACTGACCACTTGGGTACTAGGTTCTGTGCCAAGCACTTAACATGTTATTGTGGTGAATCATAAAAAATAAGGTACCCTTATTATACAGAAGAGGAAACTGAAGCTTATGAGGTGATATCACTTTCCAGCAGTCACCAGCTAGTAAGTATGGGAGCTGGGCTGGAACCCCCAAAGTCTATGAACCTAATCACCACATGCTGTAGCCACAGCAAGGCAAATCTATCTATACTATATGCAGGTAAGTCAGGCCCTTCCCTACTTGGGAAAAAAAAGTTAAAAAGTCAAGCCCTTTGTAAATGAATAAATTGAAGCAAAATGTCCCAATGGTGCCTTGCCAGATGTCAGATATAGATTTCTGCATCTCCTATTCTTTTAAAGGACTTGAAGGATATTTAAAGCATGTTTATATTCATTATCTCACTTGTACCGGGCCAGGACAAGGATTAGTCTTAGAGATACCACAAAGAACATTTAGTGAGTACTGACTGTGTCCCATGCAACATTCAATAACTTTTTACATGGATGGCCTTACTTATTCATCACAGTAACTGAGAGGTATCATTATCCCCATATTACAGAAACGTGGAATCTTAAGAGTTAGAAAGTACCTTAGAAATTGCCTTGAGCAGAACTTTACCCAAGGCATGAATTCCCTCTAGGATATCCCAAAACAAGGGGTTGCTCCACACTCTACTTGCACATCTTTAGTGACTCAATAAGACACTTCATTCCATTCATGTCATTTTAGACAGTTTTAAGGATTCAGAAGCTTTTTCTTACACTAAGCCAAAGTCTGTTAACCCACTGCCCTGAGTTATGTGCTCATGGGCAAAAAATAAATGTATAATCTAACCTAGTTCATATATCAACCATTCAGAGATTTAAAGGTAAATGGGGTTCCCAACTGTAAATTTTTTCTTCTCCTACTTCTTAATGAATCATATAGTATCAAAATCTCTTAAAGTATCCAGAACTGAATGGGGATGGGCGGGGGTGTGGTGGTTCTTAATATAATTTAAGACTCAATTAGCTTTGTTTATATGTTTCTTCAGCTATCAATACCAGTAAACAAACGTAGTTTATACTTACTGGTGCTATAAAAATGCCACACATTTTATAATAGGCAAACTGAAGCTTAACGAGGTAAAGAACTTTAATTTTGGTTACATAACCAGTCAGCAGTAGAACTGGAATTAGAATTCCATACCTCTTATTTCCAATCCCCTCCCTACACTTAATTCATATCTGGTTCACAGACATCTAAAGCTTGAAGCATTTATCACATATACTATTAACCCACGAAGCTCTTTTTGTTTTTTTTAAAGATTTTTTATTTTTAAAGTAATCTCTACACCCAACATGGGGCTCAAATTTATAACCCCTAGATCAAGAGTCGCGTGCTTTACCAACTGAGCCAGCCAGGTGCCTCAACCCATGTCTTTCTTACTCCATTCTTGGAAAGGTAAATGTTGAACCCAAAGGTAG